GTGCACTCTTCCGATGATTCATGGGGTAGTAGTGGGCCCGCAGGATACAGCCGCAATGTCTCTTTTATGACGCAATGAAGATACGAAAGCTTAGCCAAATCAGACTCATCAACTAGACGATCGTGTCCTACGCAATGATCCAATTCCTCTTGTGCCTCTTCAAGGACTTTTGGATGGCTCAACAATAAGGCCATTACCCACTCCATTGTTCCTGCTGAGGTATCTGTTCCTGACGAAAATAAAGTCTGCACACACACACACACACACACACATATATAGATTAGTGTAAAATTCATAATAAGAGAATATAAAGATGTAAGGTCACATTAAGCTTTTTCATTCTTATATGTTACGGAATACATTTTGTATATGTACAGAAATTTACCAGCATAAGGCCTCTGATAATCTCATCTCTATAGTACACAGGATCGGAGTTCTGGAGAGATAATAGGACTTGGATCATGCATTTCTTCGTCTCTTCGGAGAGATCAGAACTTTCTAGGCTTGACATTTTCGTCTTATTATCTTCTATCAGACTTTGTATGAACTTGACTCTCTCTTTTTGCAACTCAACCAATCTCTTCTCAAACCCTCTATTCCAAACCCACTTCAACACTGGCACGAAATCGGAAACGTTGGTCGTGCCGCCCAAAAGTATCGCGTCGCTCACGATCTTGTGAATCTTTTTCGTCTCCTCATCGTCGACGCTCCTGCCGTGGAAGTTACTTCGATCCCCGGCAATCATTCTCATCATCGTCATCAGCATCAACTCGAACAGTGATGCTCTGATATTCACCGTCCGGTTCCGAGACCTCACGAGGTGGCGGATCAGGGAGCGGATCTCGTCGGAGCGGGCGTGGGACAGCTTTTGCATGCGATTGGAGGATAGGATTTCGACGGCCGAGATTCGGCGGAGGTTTCGCCAGTGGTCGCCGTAGGGGGCGTAGACCATGCTGGTGTAGTTGGACCCCAAGTGTTTTCCGGCCAGCAAACGAGGGCGGTTGGCGAAGATGACGTCGTATTTCGCAAGGCATTCCTCTGCCATCGAAGGGGAAGAGACGACGAGAACAGGGCGAGAGCCGAACCGGAGGAGAAACACCGGACCGTAACGGTCGGAGAGTTTGGCTAGGGCTCGGTGGAGCAGTCTTCTGAAAACGTAGAGATGGCCTATGATGGGAAAGGCAGGAAAAGGGCTTGGTGGGAGGTTTCGGATCTTGTCGAGGAAGTGATTTGTGAAGGCATAGAGGATTAAAAAGACCAAAAAGTAGAGGAACATGGTTAATGAAGTACGTAATATTAGTTAAGTTTGCCTTTTTTTGATCTTGTCGTTCGATGTTCTAATTGAGCAGAATAAATACGTGTTAAGCGTCAAGGCTTTTATAAGTGTAATACAATAATAAGCATCTTTACATAGTCTATACGATATGATTAATATAAATTGCGTTTTTGGACGAACATGTATTATAACATTTATTTCATAGAAATGTTCGATACATATATCCTTTTGGAACATAATTGACTAGTATAAAATAAGTAAATTATTTCGTTTATTAATTACTACATATATACGGAGAAAGTCCTTATATATTTATCAAGAGTTCGATTCTTAGCAAACAAGCATCCAACGGCCAACGAGCATTCCTGATCTCTCTTTTTCTCAGATTCTTCACCTTTCTTCCCTAAATTTCTTTTATATTTCTCAAAGGTTCGTCCGGCAGCAAACAAACACATCCAGCCGCCAACAGAAATTCCTTCTCTTCTTGGTCTTTTCCTTCTCAAGCATCTAAAGATGGAAAATGCTTATCTTGTTATTAGTTTATTTTAAAATAAAAAAGAGATGCGTTTCTATTCATAGGATAATGAACGATTGGTGTCACTATCACCATATCATTTATCAAAATCATTAGAAATAACGACAGAACCCCCACGACACCCTCAAGGCATTATTAGATGAGCTCACGATATGTTTTATCATGATCACAAGGTTATTGGACGAGCTCACAAGTTGTTCTATGAATGTATACATATATAAGACCATCTCTCTAATATAAATGTCAATTTAATGTTATAGTTATCACTAAAAGGTAAAGAAAATAACATATTTCATTTGCTGCATGATACGATTTCAAATGTTATATCTACTTTTGTTAAAGAAAAACCTTTAATATTTAAATGATTTTGGGGAAACAATGTTTTGTAATAACTAAAATTAAAAGTAATTAATACATAAAACAATGGAAATCAAATGTTAAAATTTGACATTTGTTGTACTTGGTGTTATAACATTTATAGATTTACCAAATTTTTTGACATTAAACTAGAAAATGATTTTTTCTACTCAAATAAAAAAATTTAGCAATTGGTATATCAATTTTACAATACATCTCCAATGTCCTACTCGATATATATATATATATATATATATAATGCATGAAAAAAAAAGTGATAAACTCGATCTCATTCTCTGCCTCTTCGGACGTGTCTTCCCTCCTTGCCTTTTATGGTTAACCATCTATTAAAAACAATTAATCTGCCTTTTTCAAACGAGAATTAGTGTCATTCTTAAATGAGAAATATTGTGGTTTTCTAAGCATGTGCTTATACTCCACCTTGCCATTGCTATTATCGATGTCAAGATATATAGGTGCCAAAACTTAATTAAAAAGAAGGGAAATATTGAGTACATTTTTAATTGGAAATGGGAGGAATAAATTTGGGCCCGTTCATTTCGCTGATTCGAGTTTAGAATTTGAGTTTTGTTACAGTAAAAAGCTCTCAGAAACAGTCACATCTAACTTTTTTGCTACAGTAAAAAGCTCTCACACAAAATCACATCTCAACTCGAATTACAAACTCGAATCAGCGAAGTGAACGAGTTATTTTAACCATTTTTCCTACCATCATCACACGTGTACACGATACACTACTATCACATATATATACGCACTGTTCCTCCCAAACCCTCGGGAATGGTTCCTTGCATGTCATCATGCTTAGGAACTATTCATCACTTGTATGATTTGCACTTAATTTCAGAACAAGGAGAAAGTATATATAAAAGAAACTTTTAAATATTTCTCGATAATCTATTCTCTAAAAATAATAAGTGTTTTGACCTATCATATATTAGGTGCTAATTAAACTTTCTACTACACTTGCCTTTTTTCCATCACAACATGATCTTTTCCCCAAAAAAAAAAAAGAAAAGATTTTTTTTAAATAAAAAAAAATGTTAAACTACAACTTTAGACGTAAGAGACGAAAAGCAAAAGACCATTTCAGTTTAAATAAAGACATTAAGAGAGCATTTCACTTTATATAAGGTCATTAGAAGCAGGAAAGCAAAGTAAATATTCAACTGTACCATAAGGACACATATGTAAAAAAAATGTTGAATTTATCCTTAGAATGTAGTTTAAATTTTTATCTTTTATTCTTGAGTAATACTTGAGTAATATAGTTATTTGACCAAAAATAAAATTAATCAAGAATAAGAGAAAAAAATCCAGACGCGTACACTTTAAAGAATATTTGTCTCATTCTCTGATGTAAAAACTATTATATTTGCTTCATTGGTGGTAATTAGTTAAAACAAACGTTTTAATTTAGCAATTTGCATCCTATTGTGTTTCTCGCGGAGTGCAAGTAGATATGAATTTACCTGCTTTTTTCTTTTTCAAGTTTTGTAAAAATGGTTAATTAAGTTAAGAACACTGCCACATCACAATTGATTCATGAATATTAATATCTCAAAAGAAAACCATGAGATAACAACAAGAAGTAGCTTTACGGTCGAAAAATGCAAGTCAAGGATTTTTACTTTTATTGTTTTTATTTTCCAGTAGATATATAAGTGATATACTTAAACAAACTCTGCATGCAACTGCTTTTCTATTTATTTTTCTACATGTAATCAGAAATTTATATTCTGATCTCATAAAAAAGATACGTACAGAAGCATTTATCATCATTCTACGTTCAACATGAGAAAGAAACATCAGTTTTTCTTCCAAGTTTTTCATATTTGAGAAAGAATGTTGGCCATGGTCGGACGAGGCCTGCACTTAGCCTGCAACGGATGGGCCTTAGGCATGGTGAGTCCAGGGCCTTCAGTCATGTCCACCAACTCCTTGCCAACCCTTTCCCACTCAAAACACTGAATCAGTAAGCCCAAAGTCAGCTCAACAATTCTGACTGCCAAGTTTTCACCTGGACAGCCTCTTCTCCCAGACCCAAAAGGCATTAACTTATACCCATCTCTCATCCCCTCCTCCATATCTTTAAACCTCTCTGGCTTGAAAGTTGTGGGATCGTCCCAAAGTTTAGGGTCTCGTTGCATGGCCCATAAATTCACAAATAACATAGTGCCACGTGGTATGTTGAACCCACTCACCTTGCACTCATCCGACGACTCATGGGGTACCAGTAATGTGCCAGCTGGATACAACCGGAGGGTCTCTTTCAGAATGCAATGAAGATAAGGAAGGTTCTTCAAATCAGATTCTTCCACAAGGCGTTCATTTCCTACGCAATTTTCCAACTCTATATGCGCCTTTTTCAAAACTTCTGGATGGTTAAGTAGAAGAGACATTGCCCACTCCATGGTCCCACTTGAGGTATCAATTCCTGCGGCTAACAAAACCTGTGCATATGCATGAATTACAGAAAAAAGAGGAGAGCTTCAGTTTACAATTTGAATTATAATAATTGGTTACACTGGATATAGCTAATATATGGTAAAGGCACGGAATTTCTTAAATTATTACCTAAAACTTTTCTACTGAAGAATTATTACATAAAGTTTCAGTTGATAGGAAATGTAAATGTGTACGGTGTAAGTTTGGGCCGCCCGGCCAAGCCCGGACCTGAGCCCGGACCTGACGGCCAAAGGAGACATTTTGGGCCAATAAAGTCTTAAAAAAGAGAGGGTCAACTCAGCCCAATTCTAAGTTTAAAAAATTTAAAGCTAACCAATATTTTATAAAGTATTTAAAAAATCTTTAAATAGATGTTCGGGCCGGCCCGACTCTAAGCCTAAAAAATTTAGGGTCGAGCCCGAACCAATAATAACAGGCATCGAATCAGCATTTAGCTTGACCTAAACTTATAACTTTGACACCAATACTACATGTTCTGTCAGCTTTATATATGTGTAAGTGGTCTTTTAGCCACGTTACAGATAATTGGATATCAAATAATAGAAACAAGTATGAAAATTCGATGATGTAAATAAAATTTCAAAAAACAAAATGAATTTTTTATTTTGGAAGCCTCTAAAGTAAGATCTCTTAAAAAAATCACTAGGGGAACACACTATTTTAATTATTGGATTAAACTTTCAACAGTTAAGTCTGTATTAAAAATTTACAATCTACCTCATAAAACTGTTTATTCTGCATATCTAATTGTTGGAAAAATAATATAGCAGTCAAAACAGAGTATTCCACTAATAAATTTATTTAAGGCATCTCATTGCAGAGAAAACTATTTTTTATTACTTAAAGTATTTTAATAATTAATACATAAAAGAGCATGATCTATGTATCTTATGTAAATAAGTAAATACAATATTTCTAGAGCAACACGAAAATTCCCAAAGAAATAAGTCTGAGCAGATATTTTACTTCAAATTATATATGATAATTAAGGACTTACCGCCATGAGGCCTCTGATAATCTCATCCTTATAGAACTCGGGCTCCGATTCCTGAAGTGACAACAAAACTTCAATCATCGTCTTATTTTTATCTTCTTGCAGTGAACAACTTCCACAATTACTCGTTGCCCTTTTCCTGTGCTCCTCTATCAAATTCTGCATGAATCCATCTCTATCTCTCTGCAATTCAATCAAACTCTTTTCATACTCTTTTCCTCCGAAACACCTCATCAACGGAACAAAATCACTCACGCTCGTCGTCGCACCCAACGAAAAGGTTTTCCTCACGATCTCCCTAAACCTCCTGGCCTCCTCAACCTCCGCCAGACTTTCTCCGTAGTACCGCTTGCCGGCGATCATCCTCATCATCACATTCAGCGTCAGCTCGAAGAGCAGAGATTTCATCTCCACCGTCTGATCCGGCCGCGACCGCAGGAGCCGGCGAACGAGGGAGCGGACCTCGTCGGCGCGTATGTGGGACAGCATCTGAAGGCGGTGGGAGGAGAGGATCTCGAGGCTGGATATGCGGCGGAGGCTTCGCCAGTGGTCACCGTACGGGGCCCACGAGAGGCTGGTGAAGTTGTAGCCCAGGTGTTTGCCGGCAAGCAGACGAGGGCGATTCGCGAAGACGACGTCGTTTGCGGTCAAACATTCTTCTGCCGCCGTAGGGGAAGTAACGATGAGGACGGGGCGGGCGCCGAACTGGAGGAGGAGAACCGGACCGTATCGGTTTGAAATTTTGGAGAGAGTTCGGTAGAGGGGCTTCTTGAATAGGTATAGATGGCCGATTATTGGGAGGGCCGGGAAAGGGCTTGGTGGGAGGTTTCTGATTTTGTTGAGGAAGTGATTTGTGAAGAGATAAAGAACTATACAGAGCAGGAAGTAGAGGAAGTAGAGGAACATGGTGGACAAGATGGTTTTTTTTTTTTAATCCCTCTCTTTATAGATCTATATGCAAGTATTTTTAATTTCTGGCTTCTTAATATGGTTAAGTTATTATTGATCTGGTCATTTCTTTGAAAATAATGGAAGATTAGGTATTACTTTTAGTTTGAAAAGAAATGTGAGGAATTGGCGTGTGCAAAAGTCAATTAGTCATATTTTCAAGTGGAAAAATCAAATGGGAAATGGAAGCACAAAAGCGGTCTCGTGATCGTGAAGGCATATTGGAAGTGAGAGGAATCGCTCCCGAAATTGGGACAGGTACTTGTCCATTTAAAGGGTTGCTTTCTATTTAAGAGTTTTATCCATTTTTAACGATTATATTAGTTATTCATTAAATATAAAATTATGAGTGGCTATCCATCAAACATAAAACTTTAATAATGTAATAAGAGTTTAATTTTATTAATTGTTAATTTTATTTTTTAATCTACTACCCAATTCGTTACTTATTCATGAATAAAAATTGGGCAAACTATACTAAAACCCCATGTGTTTTATCAAAATAATAAAGACACCTGACCAAAACAAATAACATCAACACCCATTCTCATTAACTCTGTTAAGTTTGGTTATGAAATGACAAGAATACCCTAATTAATTCCAGCCATAGATCTAATTATACTCAATCTCAGCCCTCCATGTTTTAAATTAGAGTACCCATTAAAGAAAAGCATGGCTAGAGAGGAGAAGCACCTACATCAGAATGAGAGCAAAAAAAAAAAAAACCACCTCCGCAAATCGTCCACGCCACCAACTCCGGCGCGAAGCCGCCACGCCGTCGCAGCCCACGCAATCCGTCGCGACGTCCATCGCTTCCCACCCAAGCTCCTTGTCGCTTTGTACTCCGGCATTTGCCCGAGGCGCTCCACCCTTGACCCCCTCCCATCGGCATGACACAACCCCATTACCCACCAGACCCACGGGCGACGATGCTGGGCTCTTTACAGATCTGCTTTGATCTGCTCCTTGGAATCGAGAATGGGCGAGGCACAGAGACGACCTTGGACTGTTCAGATCTACTCTGAGTTGAAGATGAGGATTGATATTTCTTTATCGTTATATGGGTTTTGCCAGCCATGCTTTTCCATAGGGAAAAGAGTTGAGAAATGCATGAGATTTTGTAAATGAGTAGTGTTTCACTAAGAGAAAGAGGGGAAGGCCGGAGAAATTAATTTAGTTGATGATTGTGTTGGAATTTCAATTAGTTTCACTTGAGAGGAAGAAAGGAGGGTGTTTGGGTTGCTTACACATGTAATTAATTTTAGGAATCAAAGATAAGAATAGTTTTTCTATTCCATTTTTTTTCAATTGCCATTCCACCGTTACTGCCAAAGGCACCATTACTAGTATAAGCACCAACTTTCTAATTCATCAATTATATGTAGTCTAATAATATTTGCTTATTATTAAGAAGTTTTGAAAAATAAAACAAAGAAGAAACTTTTTCTTATTACTATAGTGCAAATATAATTGGCTTAATAAGGGTTAAAACGCCATTTCAAACACTATGCATAATTATAAACATCGTCTGAGCTATGAACGGGCATTCTTAGGGATTGTTCTTTTTACATTTTTAAGTTACGGTGATTTGAGTGATAATCTTAAGTTGAGTTTGAATTATAACTTAAGTTAAAGTTATAATTTGAGTTTGTATGTGTATGTACACATTTAAGTTATAATTTGAATTGAGAATCTTTTTGAGTTTGTGTTTGAATGAGTCAAAACTTAAATTTATATTTAGATAGTATTTTAATAAAAACTCAATGGTGATGAAAATTTTTAATAGAGTATATGAATGAGGTTTTATTTGTCTTTTCGTTGTGAATGCATAGAAAAAAATCATCTCAATCAGAATTAAAATGAAAAAGTTATGACATTTTTAAAAATAGAAAAAATATTATTCATTAACTTGAGTTTGAATTTATAAACTCAAGTTGAAGGGGAAACTTTAAACTAGAATTTAGCCCCAAACTCGAGTTCAAACTCAAATTTTATAAAAGAACATGAATTTGAATAAAATTGTAACTCAAATTCAAACTTTTTCTGAGTTTCATTGCAAAAGAACAACCCCTTAATATTTCAAGAAATTAACAGTCAAATATATATCAACATTAAAGGTCAACTAACCAATGATAAACTAACAGAAGAAGTGTTTCTGTAATTTTTTTGAAAAGTCATCGGGTTTTGACGTTATTTGTTTTGGTCAATGGGGTGTTACTGTTATTTTGATCAAACACAGAGTGTCAGTGTAAATTGTCTAAAAAAATTAGGAGACGTTTGTTTCCTATATTCGTCACTGATTATGAATTATGATTCATGGTTCTCTACAGTATTTTCTCTCATAAAAAATACACGTAAAACGAGAATAATTTTGAATCATGATTATGAATACATAACTAAACGTCCACTTAATAAGACTTTGGCACTTTCACTTGCTCAAATTAACGCTAGCCAAATCGAACCCAGTTGCGTCAATGCGGAACGGGTTACTTCATTAGTTAGTATAGGAGATTTAGCCTGATACCAAGGCAAGAATTGATCCAACACCTTATAACTATAAACACCAAAAATCATTCCCTCACAAAAATATAATAGCAATTGTCGAGGTGGCCAAAGTTCTGCCAATTAAGATCATACACACACACACTCTCTCTCTCTCTCCTCTACTTGGTTCCCTAGCCTATACGAGAAGAAACTTACCCAGAATTCTGTGTGTACAAATGGATATGAATTTACATGCCCTTTTCGTGTCGTTGTATCTCGAAGCAAATTAATAAGTGCAGAAGTGTTTGTGTGTGTGTGTATATACACATATATTTTTTTATCTAGAAGCAAATAGACTGATCAACAGGTCATGCTCATACATACATGAGCTAATTAATCAATATTTGCACAGAAGACGACATCCGTGACTAGGTTACCAATTCGGCAGTTGATGCATGACATCCATAATATTCTTCTAGTATATTTATCCATTGTCCAATATGAAATTTTGGACAACAATATATCTTTCATAATAAAAAAGTATAGAAAATACAGTAACCTGAAATGTAGTGAAGAAGTGAAGAAGAAAGTCCAACTCACTGCAAACTGGATGAGTTTTGTTAGTACCGGTTTAGTCTTCTAGCGGATTCGATGTTAAATTTGTTGTTAAAAATTGATTCAACAAATGAATATAGAACTCGAAATAAAAAATAGGCATAGAAAAACCAGTATCGCGGTTCGATGCCACCTACATCCGTGGGGCTACACCCAAATGATGAATAATACACTAAGTCTCAACGATTATAAACACAAATCAGACTTATACAAATAAAGACTCCGTCTTTAAATTTGTCGCCGCCGGGAAGAATCTACTTAATGACCTTGTTCAGCGAGCACCACTCGTCTTCAAAACTGAATTTTCCCCTAAAAACCCAAATTCCTTCTCCTGAATGAATATAAAAAATAAATGCTCACAAAATGATTTGACTCTTTGTAATTTTGAGGCTCCAAAGGCCCGTCGAGATTATTGTAAGACTCCAAATCTATAGCCGAATAATCTAGTTGTTAAAGATCTTCAATGCAATCCACTGTCAACAATCTACTGCAAATTCTGTTGCAACAAGTACCGCAATAGAGCTGTCAAAACTGATCCGAATGTTAATCACGCTGATTCTTGAAATATTTCCATGTAAAAATCCACGAACCTGGATATATTCTTATAAAGCTTTGATGACTCGTTTAGCCTAGCAAAATCTCATCCACAAATCATTTATTCCATCAAATTCGAACTCACCAAAAGGGACCAAAAGTTGACTTTTACCAAATCAAATCAAATCACTACAAGAATAATCACTTTAAGAGACCAAACTTTTTGATACCAAAAAATTTTTGGTAGCAGAAAACACACTTTTTGCTACTAAACTTTGGTAGCTGAAAGTATCAAGGCTTTAGTTACCAAATTTGATAGTAAAAATAACACAATCCGCTACCAAATATAATTTGGTAACAAATAATATGACGGAAAATGAAATTTGGTTCCTGACAATAGCTTTTTGCTACCAAACTAATATTTGGTAACAAAAGCATAAGATTCTGCCACCAAAAATTTGGTAGCAAAATATGACTTTTTTGCTACCAAACATGTTTTGGTAACAAAAAGTTGGCGGGAAGCAAAATTTTTTCCCACCCGAGGTATTTGCTACCGAATTATTTTTGGTAGCAAAACATATAACATTTGCTATCAAGAGTTGGAAGCAAAATATAACTATTTGCCACCAAAATTTGGTAGCGAAAAATCAAGTTTTTACTACAAAAAACATAATTTTTTGCTACCAAATTTTGGTAGCAGAAAATATGATTCTGCTACCAAATTCTTATTTTGGTGACAAAAAGGCGTTCTTTGCTACCAAAAATTGTGTTTGGTAACAAATCATATGAAAACATTAATATTTACATTCAGGTCGGCTAATATTACATCATTTTGTTATTGAAATATTTCTTGTTTGGTTACCACTTGATACATCTTTCAGTGTTAATCCGTTCTCTATGATTGCTATGTCTTATTATGTTTCAGGCTCCCATTCTTGTATTCTTGTCTTGTGTTGTGTTAGTTATGGTTCTTCATAAACTTGAAGAAAAATTAAAAATTAGAAAATGCTAGTTAAGAGAAGACCTATCCAGAGCCAAGAGATTTTTGAGGTTGTCCTATTTATGTTAAAAAATTGGATTGGTCAGAGTAGGACTAGGATTCCTTTGTCTTACATGTTTAGGCCATTTTATTTGGTAGTGTGATTTAAAACACCTTTATAGCTTGATATAGTAGTTATCTAGATTTGATACATTCCCAACTTTACTTTGTGCCGATGGATGCTCAATGATTGATCGAAGAATGGTAAGATTTTTTGAAAAGCTTGAAAATGAAGTTCAGGAAAACAAACGTCGTATGTCGGATATGGAAATTCTAATAAAACAATAACAGGAGCTTATTCAAAAGTTACTTCAACAGATAAATCTGTCATCAGATCATCTTGAACCTTTCGTCCCAAGAAGAGAAGATCCTCCACCACCGCCACCACCGGCCTCAGTTTGTTAGAGCGTTTAATTTTTGTAATATTAAGATTTTACTAGTACAATATTTGCATAAGTGTTTGAGTTTGCTTAAGTATGACTATTTTAGTATTTTGTTTGGATTCTAATATGTATTGAAATATTTAGAGATTTTTAAATTAATATTTGGTATTTTTTTTATATATTTTTTTTCAAAAAATACAAGTATATAAATCTCTCAATTTTTATACTAAATATTTGGTTCCTAAATCTCATGACTTTTGCTACCAAATACTTTTTGTTACTAAATATTTAGTGACTGAATCGCTTACTTTTTGCTACCAAATATATTTTGCTATCAAAATTTTAGTAGCATAAAGCTCATACTTTTTGCTACCAAATATATTTTGCTATTAAAATTTTGGTAGCAGAAAGCTCACACTTTTTGCTACCGAAATTTTTGGTCTCCGAATATCATACATTTTATTACCAAATACATTTTGTTACCAAAAAGTTTTTTGCTAACAAAAACTATTTGCTACCAAAATTTTGATAACTAATACTTTCTGCTATTCACTTTCTACCACCAAAATTTTTTGGTAACAAAAAATTCAAATTCTTGTAGTGAATATGGCTGATTTTTAACAGTTTTTAAATAACCAGAAACTTCCCAAAATAAGATCCTAACTGAAAATCAATCTTCAATCAAATCAATCACCAAAACATGCCCAAAACAATGCCAACACATAAAATTGATCGAATCAGAAAATGGCAACTATCAAACCGAAATCCCAACAAGTTTAAATATCATTTTTACTATTTACAAATAGTAACTTTTAAGATTGAAACACTAATTACCTATGATCTACCGTTTAAGCATAAAAGTCCACAAGAATTGAATATCAGTAACATCTGCACATTCTTCACCAATTGTCACGAACACAAAGCCCGGTCAATTCATTGGCTATTACTTCATATTCGATAAAGGACATTCGCCATAATTGGACGTGGTCGGCACTTAGCTTGTAACGAATTAGCCTTGCACAAGCTGATTCCTAACTTTTCTGTCATGTCTATCTTCTCGCTCCCCACTTCCCACTCAAAACACTGAATTAGTGATGCCAAAGTTAGTCCTAGCATACGCATGGCTAAATTCTCACTAGGACAACCCCTCCTCCCGGACCCAAAAGGCATGTATTTGAATCCATCTCTCATCACCCCTTCACTTTGTTTAAACCTCTTCGGCTTAAATCTGGTTGGCTCGTCCCATAGCTTCGGATCTTGTTGTATGGCCCATAAATTAATCAATAGTATGGTGCCACGTGGTATGCGAAAACCGCCTACTGTGCACTCTTCTGATGATTCATGCGGTATCAACGGACCGGCAGGATACAACCGCGTTGTCTCTTTTATAATACAATGAAGATATGAAAGTTTAGGCAAATCAGACTCATTAACTAGGCGATCATGTCCTACGCAATGATCCAATTCATTTTGTGCCTCTTTCAGAACTTCTGGGTTGGTCAGCAATAAGGACATTGCCCACTCCATGGTTCCAGCTGAAGAATCTGTTCCTGAGGTAATTAAAGTCTGCATATAGTCAAAGTGAAAATTATATTTTAGTAGCTTTTCATTTTTTAATTTATTTATAATAATTCTTTTGGTTTATTATCATGCTTGGAGACCATATTGTTTGAAGAAAAGAGAAAAAATACTTGAAGCTATGCTAGTATTGAGCTCCATAACTAACAAAAAAAATGAATCCATTATGGGTCTTAACTACTCAATACATTACGAGATATTACTAAGAGTACATGCGGGACAATAAATGATCCCGGTCCATGCTTTCGTCTCCCAGCAAGCTAGAGAAAATTGCATAATTTACTCTTAAGAATGCATAACTCTAGACTTTTACTTTTTATTCTTGATAAATACCTTTATTAGTATAATTATTTGACTAAAAATATTATGAATCAAGAATAAAGAGTAAAAATTCTAGTCTATACACTTTCAAGAGATATTTGTTAAGATTACTCGAGCATCTGACTACAAGTCACAGCATGCCCAAGCCAATATTCGGCAGGCCCACTAAGAGGCACAATTACAGTCTCATTACAGACGAGGGAAATCAATCCCTAAATGATGGGAGAGGGTCCTAATAAGTCATCCTCTTACCGTCATGCTACCACTCCGGTGGTGAAAGCATTACATATTTAGCTATAAACCACACTTTTTTTTTTCAATTTCAATTTCGCTAAATTTCTAGTTATACTTCTAAACTTTTATATGTTACAAGATGTTTGTGTGTGTGTGTTTTTTCTGAAATATATGTATTGGCTGGACACGTGTGTATTCACATTAAAAAAAAAAAAAAAAAAAGCTTGGTAGGTTTTATTTATATATGAACTATACCTGCATGAGTCCTCTGATAATGTCATCCGAATAAGACTCAGGATCCGATTCTTGCAGATACAATAAAACGTCAATCATGCATTTCGTCTTCATCTCTTCAGAGATTGAACTTCCGTGGCTTGTCAATATTTTCCTCCTCTCTTCAATAAGGCTTTGCATGAAACTCACTCTCTTTTTCTGCAGCTCAATCAAACTCTTCACATCCCCTCCACTAAAAATCCATTTCGGTAACGGCAAAAAATCACCAATATTCGACGTTCCGCCCAAAAGATTTCCATCAGTCACGATCTTATGAACTTTCTTGGCTTCCTCAATATCTTCAACGCTCTCACCATAGTAACGCTTGGCAGCGACCATTCTCAGCATGTTGTTCAGCATCAGCTCGAGAAATAGCGGCTTCATTTCCACCGCCTGATTCTGATCAGAGCGCAGGAGCTGTCGGATCAGCGAGCGAACCTCATCGGCGCGTATGTGGGAGAGCATTTGGACGCGATGCGAGGACAGAATTTCGAGGGTTGCTATTCGGCGGAGGTTTCTCCAGTGGTCCCCGTAGGAGGCGTACGTGAGGTTTGTGTAGTTGTTTCCGAGGTGTTTCCCAGCGAGTAAATGAGGACGGTTGGCGAAGATGATGTCGTTTTTTGTTAGGCATTCCTCGGCCGCAGATGGAGAGGAGACGAGGAGGACCGGTCGAGAGCCGAACTGGAGGAAAAGTATAGGACCGTACCGGTCGGATAGTTTGGAGAGACATCGATGGAGGGGGTTTTTGAAAAGGTAGAGATGGCCTATTATGGGAAGGACGGGAAAAGGGCTTTGTGGTAGGTTTTGGATCTTGTTGAGAAAGTGTTTGGTCATGGCATATAGGACTAGAAAGTACAACAAGTAGAGGAACATGGTGAGATCAACTGAGAAATTAAGAGTATATACTTTTTTGTTTTCTATGGAAGTAGATGCTAATCTCTAATATCTCTGGATTTCAACTGATCGATTGTTAATTAGTGAAGGACTTATCTAAGGATCTCACTGTTTAAATAGATTTCTTGGGAAGGAGCCGTGTGAAATTGGAAAACTATAAGAATTTGTAGTGAAAAGTGAGTTATATTATACAAGTGCGTAGAACAAAGCTTGTCATAAATTAATTGATGTGTTAAGAATTTGTAGATAATCAACCTAGCACTTAACGTAGCCTGGGTTTCTCCGCATCCAAAGCTTACAAGCTAATACTGACAATGCGACAAGATGTCCTGGACTTGGCTTGGCTGCTTGTGAAGGATTATTTGGAAACATCGTTCCTTTGTATTGTTTGGGGCGTTTTTGGGGTCATTTAGTTCGTTAAGTCGAGTTTTTAATTTGAGTTAAAATGTGATTTTATATGAAAGCTTGTTATTAATAAAAAAAGTTAGATGTGACTGTTTTTTAAAATTTTTTACTGTAATAAAATTCAAATTTTAAACTCGAATTAGTAAAATAAACAAAGACTTACTATGTTTTTAGATGAGGTGTTCAAGGCGCATCTGGTTAATTATTTATTCTAACAGATTCTTACGATGTGCCTTGGGAGTTGAGAAATGATTGGAGGAAAACCATTTCTTTAACTAATTATAAAAAGCTAAAGTCTGATGATTATCGTTAATTAAGAACGAATGCCCAACACGTGGCCTGCATTTTGCCACTTGTGTGCAATTTGATCATAGTTGCAAGAAGTACTGAATTATTTTCTCTTCTTTTTTTTTTTTTTAAAGACCCAAGAAGTATTAAGTTTATATTATGTGAAAGATATTTAAAAGTGGTTGGCTTGTTGCTAGTGGATGATGTGTGGCTGAAATATCAAACGTCATGTTTCCTAAAACACATAAATATGCTAGGGCTGAAGTATATTCCCTTTAAGGCTTGACTCCAATTTTCATAACTTCCTCTAGTTTTTGAAAGCGGCAACAATTTAGAGAATTTAATGAGTCCTCAACAGCTCAAGCATACCTATCATATGTTCTTATTAGAAACCAAATTCTGCACCATTTCAGCATAACGTTGAATTAAAAATTGAAAAAAAAAAAAAAAGAAGAGAGAGTGTGACAAACAAGAAAACTGAAGTTGAATTTCATACTACAAGTTGTACACAAATGATTGAGGGTGAAAAATATGAGCAATGACAAAGGGACCAAAAGCGTTCTCTGAACTTGTTGAGTAACAAGCAGACGCACAAAATCCAAAAGATAGTCCTTCAAAGTTCTCTTGGATCTATTTCCTCTAAGAGTTAGATTCATGGAAAGGCAGAATTTCTGCATACTCTACTGCTGGCAAGATATGCATATTTTCCGAACTAAGTTACTGATTCCTAGTCGGCTTGATCCAAGAAAGAAAATTTATGTAGCATATGTTCAATTAGGTTGAGGACTCGGCCGAAAATGTTAAATGATACTCTTTTGCCACAGGTATTACCATCTTCCCTTTCCAAAGGTCAAAAAGCAAAACTTGCTCCCAAAGATATCAAGTGTACAAACTCACAAGCTCAAGTGTTATATCTCTATGGGTTAAACAATCTTCTTACTTTGTGGATGAGCCTTCGACATATCGGACACACCTTGCTCTCCTCGTTCATGATCCTGTCATGAAGAAAAGAAAAGAAGAGAAAAAAAACTCATTCTAGTTTTCTTTTTCGTTTTGCCCAAATATTGTTGAACTGTAACGCAACATTTTTTAGTCTTTCAAGTATTTACCTGTGGGCACAATCGTAGCAGGTCGCGCAGTGACCGCAAGGAACGAAAAAACAGTTGCGCTGATCATCATAACAAATCACACATACGTCATAAAGATCCTCTGAAGAGCTACTAGAGTCTCTAGAGTCTTCATCTTCTCCATGATTAGTTGTTCCATATGAACAACCATCTTTCTTCTCGAGCAGTATAGGATGAGTCTCGGTAATTTCTTGTACCGCGGTCTGTTCTACATAGCTTTCAGGCACACTATCACAGGCTCCAAGGTACTTCAGCATTAGAAATATAAAAAGCACAATAAGACCTGCAAATTACACTTAAGTTAGGCAAAAGATGCTGTTGAGAGGTTCAGAACATGGAAAACATAGGTTTTTCTCAAACGTTTGTACCTAAAATCGCTATATATGCTACGACACGAGCCACGAAAGAGAGTTCGAGGTACCAATCATCAAGATTACCCTGCAAATTAGTTTATTTGGTTAGGTTTGGACAATATGTTGAACAAGCTTTTGAGAGAATTTTCTTGGGATTAGCCTTACGTTGTTTGGTGTGGTTAAGATGACATAGTGAGTACGAGGGAATAGAAGTCTAAGCTGGCACGAACCTTTGTTGTAGAACAATTGTTCTTGGCTTTGGTAATATCATACTTCTTTGATGAAACATTCACATTAAGCATCGTGATTACGCTTCTCGAATTCGAGTTTATGATCTCAAGGCGATACCTGTCATCTTCCTCAATGGCGTACTCAACTTCCGTACCTGATTAGACAATCAAGTAATATTGGAAGCATTCAAATATAAAATATCCGCAAGTAAAGTTGCTTCATAACTCCTTGTGCCGTTCCAAGAAATGAAATAGGACGACGAGCCATTGAAATTTGCGTCTCTCTCTTAGCTTCTTGTTGCTAATTTACCTTTGATTGGTTCATTAAGCGTGAGGAGGTTGAGTGTGGTTCTCAATTTCGGCAGCAATATTTCGTATTTTTGTTCTCCTATAGAAACAAACAAACATTTGTTAATGGTTAACAATGGGCGATAGATTCTAATTCAGATGGATTAAACACCAAAAGGAGAATTTTTTTTTTTTTAAAAAAAAAAAAGAAGAAAATTCTCAAAAATTGAAATCACCTTTAACTACAACTGCTTCAAGTTGATTCAGAGTACTACTCTGAGCTTCTAATCTCAAGTTTATCTGCGAACCTCTATTTAACCACAAGGAAAATCTCTGCAAAAGAAAATCTCAATCTTTCTAGACATAAACGTAGACAATAACATGTTTCTAGACATGAACATATAGTTGTTTTTCTTTCGTTTTCCGTTTGTTACCTTACGACTGTACGGTCCGATAATCAAGTAGCTAGACACGCTCCAATTTGTTTCAATGCTCAACTCAGGCTTTTCAGAGGAAGAAAAAAGAAAAGCTCTGTTTTTATCCTCATCTCGCAGTTGAACTTTTTCCACAAAAACAGAGCTCGCTTTCACCAGCCGTGAGGAGCTCGGTCCAAGCACCATTCGACAATCCCCGTAATAACCATATCGCACAATAACAAAACAAAAAAACCAAAAAAAAAAAAAAAAAAAAAAAAAAAGGCTTTGTATAAGATTGAAATGTCGGCAAAAGAGAAACCGTCAAAGCAACTGAAAAAATACATGCCACAAATCCAAAGGGTCAGAGGAGTTAGAATGCGAGCCCAAGAGTCTTGCCACTGGTGAGCACGGCTGGGAAGGGTCCAAACCGGTCGATGCATGGCTCGTTGTGACGAGGAAACAAAGAAGGAAAAATAATGTGAAATTTGCAAAAGCTACTGGCCTCTTGGGAATATATAAAGACTGGTAGGTCTACTGAGCCGCAGTGTTTGCTCTCCAGTCTTCCTCGGTTTCACCTAACTGTATTCATTGTGATTGGCGGGTAATTGAATGGAGAGGTTTTTGAACGTTAGGTGATTTTTTTATGTAAAAAAAATAAAAAAATAAAAATAATAATAATAATTTCTATCTACTACTACTAATTATAATAATAATAATAATAATAATATTATTATTATTATTGTTATTATTATGGAAAAATTTATGGTAGCGCTAGTATTTTCCCCTACCCTCAGGGTGCATTATCATGGCCATTGATTTTTACTCGTGCGGTCCAAAACGATAAAGAAACGCTAAATTAAAGTAAGACCGTGTACAACTGATCATACTCTCTCTTTTTTATTAAAACAACTCTATATATTTTATAAAATATCAAATTTTTACCCAAATAAATCTCAGCCAATAATTTAATAAAACTTTTAATCTTATCCATTGATTCAAAAACATGTTCAAACCCTAACACTATTATCCTAACACTTTGAGGAGCTCCTTCTTAAACGGGGTGATTTAGGAAAATTCATTTAAAAGTTCTTCTCTTTAGTTTCATACCTTTAAAAGTTACAAGTTTTGGTGTATATCCTTGGGTTTAATGAATTTGATTGAGTGTCCAAAAATACCCTTTTCTCTAAAATAATAAACATTAAAAGAAAAGAGAGCAGAAAATTTTTTTGAAAAAAAAAAGAAGCATCATCTTCTCGTTCAAGAAATAAAGAAGGAAAGGGGGGAGATTCTCATTTTTCATCTTATATACACTAGAGAGATTACTACCCACACAAGTCAGTTTTTGATCAACTAAGCATCCAAATATGGTGAAAATTTGTCCATTTTACTCATTTTATGGAGGTTCTACATTCAAAATCAAACTCTTGAAGTTAGGGATTTGAAGGTATGCTAATATCTAATTTAATTTAGCTTTTTGCTTTAAATTTTTGTTTAAACCTTGGGTTTTTTGTGTTTTTTCATTCATAGTATTATATGTTGAAGAATTAGACCATTTTTTTTGCATTTTGAGATTGAATTTGTGATTTTTAAGATGAAAAATTGAGGTTGAAGATGAACTAGTGATCTCTATTACATCCGGTAAAGATCTCGACTATGCAATAGGGATGCACTGTCAATTGAGCAGTAGAGATTCTACTAGAAACAACAGTAGAGTTCAAAGGGCAGTAGAGTTTCACTGTAGTTGAGTAATATTAGGAACACTAAATTTCATATCCCAACTTTTGTGTACCAGCTGATGTGGCATGTGAGTTGTCATCTTTTTATTGATAGATGTAATATCTTATCATTAATTGACAATAATGTTTTAAACAT